AGAATCATAGTATCTCTGGTTGCCTGAGTTGATGCTCCTGAAGTGTCCCTTGTGTGAGTTGTCTGTGCCCTCCCATTGTAGTTGAGCCTTGATTGCTGTTGACACATCAGCGGGTGGAACTGACCCTCAGGCTGACTGGCTGTGAGGCTTGGCCATGACCACAGTGTATGTGCTGCTGTTCGGGGGCTGACCTCATGGAGCAGGATTCGCCCCAGCATGATCTGGCACCTGCCAAGACCATCCTTTGGGTGTGCTGCTTGTGGGGCTAATTTTGTAATGCTCTGCTGTGGTCTGGAGTCGGCTACTGGGTGTGTTGGTTTTGGAGCCTCTAGGGAGGGGTTCCTGTGCAAGCCAAAGTCAGCCACTGCCTGTGACCCAACCGGGGCTACCTGGTAGGAGCTACAAAGTAATCCGCAATTGGTCACTGCCTATGCTAGATGTGGAGGAGTGTGGGAGAGACCGCACTGTGAACTGAGGCTGGTTGCCACAAGTACTGGGCCTGCTCAGCAAAAGACCCAGGGCATCCTGAGGCATGCTGCTGCCAGTCAGCAGCCCACATGGCTCAGCCACTGAAAGAGCCTTGAGTGTGCACAGGTTGGGTGGGGCAGGGCTTCAGGGAGTCCTCAGGGTGGTGTGAGTGACGTTCGGCAGGTTAGTGCAAATTCAAATTTGTCCCCAGTGCTGAGTCTGGGCTACATGAGATGAGGGCTCCACACAGGGACACTTAAAAGGCTCAGAGCACACCAAGGCCAGCCGCCATTTGCTTGGGGCCTATGGACACCAAAGAGTTGTCCAAGTCTGCAGCACGGGCCAACCCCAGCTGCCCACCTATCACCGACTGCCAAAAACACCTCCAGTGGTGCGAGAGTTGGGTAGAGCTATGTCTCAGAGTCATCAGGATGGAGCCAGTAGGTTTCACCAGAACAGTGCAGATTCAAATTTGGCCCTGTTGGGGGAGGGCTCAACAAAGAAAAGGTGATATCTGCCCACTGGCTACACAGGAGAAGGACTCAACACATGGGCACCGGCGGCTGGCTGTTCCTGCAGCCCTTGCTCTAACGCTGGTCAACTCAGTCTCTCCCTGTATATCTCTGGCACCTCCTAAGCTGCTGTCTCTCTGTTGGAGCCCAGGGTGAGTGCCTGGGAGTGGGAGAGTCTGTGTGCAGGCACTTTAAGAGGATGCTTGGGTTTTCTGCAGCCTCTGTCTCACCCCGAAGGATGGAACGCCCACTGGTTTTCACAGCCAGACGTTGTGGGAGCTACTCTTCCCAATCTTGGCGCTCTAGGCTGGGGAGCCTGGTGTGGGGCTGAGACCCCTCACTCTTCACCGGAGACCTCTGCCACTGAGATATCCCTCCCGATTTTTCTGTGGGTATGGGACCAGCCTGTTTTGCATCTCCACCCCTCCTACCAGTCTCCATCTGGCTTCTCTATGTCTTTAGTTATAGAACTTCTGTTTGGCTAGACTTCAGATGGTTCTCCAGGATGATTGTTTTATAATTTAGCTGTAATTTTAATGTGGTCGTGGGAGGAGGCAAGCACAGCATTTACTTACTCTGCCATCTTGACCGGAACTCCCACATGGGGTATTGTTTTATTTGAGCACCGATGAGTCTAGGTTGTGAACAGCACAGACAGCATCTTATGAAATTCACTTTCTAAAGACAGCATGGTGTTGATATCGGACAGTGAAGAAAGGAGAACAGGGTGATGTGAGAAGCCCTGCCTATGATAGGGCCACCGGTAACGGTCATTTAGATAGTCGATTCATTTCATGTGTGAACTTAGCTAGGCTATGGTGACCAGTCGCTTGATGAAACACTAGTCTAAATGCTGCTATGAAGGTAATTTTTTGGATGGGATTTACACCTATAGTCAGTTGACTTTAAAAGCAGATTACTCTTGATAATGTGGGTGAGCCTCATCCAATCAGTTGAAGGGATAAAGAGAAAAAGAAAATCAGGTTTCCTGGGGCAGAGGAATTCAAGATGGTGGCGTAGAAATTCTGCTTGAGTTTCCAGCCTTTAGACTCAAGACTGCAGCATCGACTTTAACTGAGACTCCAGCCTGATGGCTTGTCCTATGGGTTTCAGACTTGCTGAGCCACACAATCTCATGAGCCAATTCTTTAAAATAAATCTCTGTGTCTCTTTATATATAGATAAATAGGTAGATGATATAGATTAGATATAGTGGTAGATATATTTTTGATTCTGTTTCTCTGGAGAACCCTGCTCAACACAGTGGTCAGGGAAGCCTCCTGCAAGGAATGGGTTCTTGAGTCAAGACACAGATGACAAGGAGAAGCCAGTCATGGAGGGGTCTGAGAAAGACTGTCCCAGCCAGAGGGAACAGCAGCCCAAAGGCCCAAGACCCCTGTTGCAATGCGAGCAAGGGTGCAAGGGCTTCAAGATAGTGATGGCCACTCACTATTCTAAGCTCAGGGGATGGCAAACTTTTCCTCCAAAGAACCAGACAGTAAATATTTTAGGCTCTGAGGAATGAGAGGTAAAATTGAGGCTATTACGAAGGCGCTTTCACCTTGCCATGCCCTGTTTGCTTAGGTGATGGGCGTGCTCTGTGCCCAGCTACTGGAAATATTCTCTGGATGAAAAGTGATCAATCTGAGGCTTGGAGGTCCAGACATGTGGAGGGGGTGAGGGTGACCCCCAAGGCCAGTTTCTCTCTCTGCTCTGGATCTCAGCCAGCCTGTCTCTCCTAAGGCCCAACTATCTCATCTGGATTTAGCTGGCCAGAGGCACGACGACATGTTGAGTCACCAACTCTCAGAATGAGATTCGTCCACTCATCTCCTGACAGTCAGCAAAGAGGCACTCCAACACGTAGGTGGTGGACAGTATGACCAGCACAGGGTGGGGACAGCATTGAGGGAATGGATGCTGGTCAGGGAGGCGGAGTGGGGAGCAGGGGCCGAAGAGCACCCCAGCTGGGTCTCCACAGCTCACTAAATTGCCATCTCCAAGACCCACTTCTGTGAATGTACAGAAACAGGGGGTCGGCCAGATTTGGCCCACAGGCCATAATTTGCTAACCCTTATAAGCTCAATGAGAGGCCATTGGAAGATTTTAAGCAGGGGAGGGATGAGAGCTGCCTTAAGTGTTTAAAAAGTGAATGCCCGCCATTTCACTCCTGGTTATATACTCAAAAGAATTGAAACCTGATACCCAGACAAATATATGTGCACACAGGCTCACAGCAGCATGGTTCAGAGTAGCCAAAAGGTGGAAAGAGCTTAAATGTCCATCAGCAGATAAATGGATATAGAAAACATGGTCCATCCAGACAAAGGAATATTATTCAGCCATAAAAAGTTAATGAAGCACTGATACACACTGTGATGTGGACAAACTTTGAAAACGTTATACTCAGTGAAAGAAGCCAGACACAAAAGACCACACATTGCATGTTTCCATTTATATGAAATGTACAAAATAGGTGCTTCCATAGAGCAGGAAAACAGACTAATGGGTGCCGGGGGCTGCGGAGGTTGGGGGATGGGGAGTGACTGCTTAAGGGCTGTGGAGTCTCCTTTTGGGGTGACGAAAATGTCTTGGAGCTGGATAGAGTTGCACAACATTGTAAAGGTATTAAATGCTACTGAGCCACTTACTTTGAAATGGTTAGTTTTATGATATGTGAATTTCACCCCCCCAATAAAATATAATTAATTCATTAAGCAAGGTCACACTAGCTAGAAGATAGAGAATGAACTATGAGGTGACAAAAAGTAAAGCAGGACATCTAGCTGGAAAGCTACTGTAACAGTCCAAGCAAGAAATGATAGGTGCCTCAATATCTTAGTCTATTTGGGCTGTTACAACATGATATCCCAGACTGAGTGGCTTAAACGAGAGATATTTGTCTCTCACAGTTCCGGGATCAGGGTATCGGCTTGGTCAGGTTCTGGCGAGAGCTCTCTTCCTGGCTCATAGATGTCCACCCGCTCACTGTGTTTTCACATAGTGGAGAGAGTATCTCTCTCTTGTCTCATCCTCTAAGGGCACTAATCCCATCACTAGGGCCCCACCCTCATGACCTAATTATCCCTCAAAGGCTACACCTCTAAATACCATCACACTGAGACTTAGTGCTTCAACATATGAACTTTGAGGGACACACACACTCAGTTCACAGTACTTAGCTAGGGTGGTATTGGTAGAGATGGATTTAAGATCTAGTTTGGCAGTTGAATCATCAGGGGTTGCTGAACGGTGGGATGTGGGAGATGAGACAGACGGATGACTCCCAGGCCTTGAGCTTAGTTAACCGCGTGAACAGTGGTTCTACCCCCGACTGTGAGCTCCCATTAAAACTTAAAACATAGGCACACAGGAATACATGTGCGGACATCCACATGCCGCACCTGCACGCATCTGCACGCATGTACATGCACATACCCAAGTGTGCACGCACGGACACATGTGTGAATGCCTGCCCCTACACACACCTCCATGCTCACATGCACTGCACACAATACACACACATGCACACACCCGCACACAGACACGTATACACACACATGCACACTCCCACCCACACACACACAAACCACTCTCGTATTTTCTGTTGCTCTTATCACCATCTAAAATACTATATATTATTTTCTTGCTCAACCAGAATAGGAGCTTTATAAGACTAGGGCCTTTTGTCTCTCTTGTTCATGGCTGTGCCCCTATGGACAGTGCCTAACATACAGGAGATGTTCAATTAATATTGGGCAACCGAGTGAATGAAGCAGCCAGAAGGGAAAGCTGGGGCCTCCGCTCTCCAGTCTCCACCTGAGTCACATTTTCAGCGGCCTTTGGAAAGTGTGAGAGACCGTATGAGTGAGAGTGAGATGAGGCCAGAAGGGGGTGGGAGACAGGAAGAAGAGGAGGGCGAGGGGGAAAGGGGAGGGGCTGAACCCCAGCTCTAAAGGCAGTCCTGGGACCCGCAGGCGCCTGTCTACAGTGTGCAAAGCCCAGAAGTGTTGGGCAATTGTGGTTTCCCCCCAGCCGGCAGGACCCAGACGTGCCGTGCAGCCTGGGCATCTTGGGGCCTCATCAGCGCAGGCATGGAAGAGGCAGTGGTGCAGCCCTCAGTGTTTGTGGTGGACGGACAGACGGACATCCCGTTCATGAGGCTGGGGAGCAGCCATCGAAGACAGCCCTGCAGTGCTGCCCGGCTGGGCATGGGCCTCCTGCTGCTACTGCTGCTGGCTGGTCTGGCTGTGCAAGGCTGGTTTCTGCTGCAGCTGCATTGGCGCCTTGGGGAGATGGTTCCCCCCACGCCGGTGAGTGGGGCCTGAGGCTCGAGGCAGGCGGGTCTCCTGTGTCACCGTGCATTTCTCTGTGCTCTGGTGTGCAGGGTGGGGGACAGACTCAGAGCAGCCTGGGGCAAGCTCATTCACCTCTCTGAAACTCAGTTTCTTCATCTGTAAAATTGGTGTGAAAATCAGAGTGTCCACCTCATAGGAAATAAAATGTGGTGTCACGTGTGTGGTTCCCACAGTGGTGGCCCATGGCGAGCGTTTGACCAATAAAACTAATATTCTTTTAAAATTGAGAGATAATCGACATACAACATCGTCAGAGTTTAAGGTGTACGACATACCGATCTGACACATTTATATTATCATATGATTGCCATTGTAGCATTTGCTAACACCTCTGTGGTGTCACGTAATTATAATTTCTTCTAGTTTGGGAACATTTAAGATCTAGTCTCTTAGCAAGTTTAATGTTTATAAAACAGTTTTGCTCTCTGTAACCCCTGGAACTGACGTTCTAATGTTACTAATTATCGTTAGCCATATCTGATCACTATTATTGGGATTGTCGCTAATCCACTTTGTCCAAGTCTCTGAGAATCTCTCTCTGTGTCAGTTTCCAGTTGGCCGTGGATGTGTCTGTCCGCTGGCCACAGCTGTGGGTCTGTGTGTCTCGATTCATGCCCACATGGTCAACACTTTGTGCTTTCTGTCTCCGGGTCATTTCTCCTTCTGTCTGGATTTGGTGGCCACATGTGCGTGTCCATGTGCCCACGTGGATCTGTGCTGCTTTCCTGTGTACATGCACCCACGTGTCCACACCCTTGTCTGTCCACGGCCTGTGGGTTGATGTCTGTGGTCTCTCTGCATGTCTCTGCGTGTAGATCCACCTGGATCCATAAACCATGTATCCACGTATCCACATCCACATGTGTCTTGTCAGTGTGTCACCAAAGTGACCAGCGTCACATGTCCATATCCACATGTTGGCATTTATGTACACATATCCATGTATCTTAAATATTATTTATTAAATAAACCCTTATAGAGAGTACTGATTATATGACAGACACTGTGATACACTTCACGCATATGGATTCACTGAATCCTAAGCAGGCACTCTTCACACATCCATTTACAAAGGGAAGAGCCGAGGCACCGCATGGGTACAAGGTGCGGGGAGGTTCTGCACGTGGCCCTGGGTGCGTGTCTGAGGGCAGAGCTGCGCCCATGGTCTGCATGTGAGTCTGAGCAGTGCCCAGGCATGGGCCCTACAGGTCCTCACCCTGGGTCTCTGCATTTTCAGGAGAGAGACACAGGAGCCTGGGAGCAGTTGATGCAAGGTGAGAGTCAGGGTCCTGGTCCCCGGGGAGGGCTCCCACACTGTCCGCACCCCCATTGCCCAATGCAATTTGCAAAATGGGCCCAAAGCCTACAAGTGCCCCTCCCCCAAGCGTGAGAAGCGGAAGTTCGGGTCACTCCGGAAAGGGTGGGGCTGGCACCAGGAGGTGGACTTGATGACCCACTGCAGGCTGGTCCTTACCCTCACCCCCAACCCCCCCATCCCCCACTGCCCCCACCCTCTGACCTCTGACTCTCTCTCCAGAGCGGAGGTCCTACCAGTCCAACCCCGCAGCACATCTGACAGGTAGGAGGACCCCAGGTCCTGGCACGGAGTGAGGGTGGCGGTGTCCTGGGGAGACCTGACAGACATGCAGTGTGTCGGAGCATTCATTCATTCGTTCAGTATTTGTTCAGAGTGCCCCAGGGCACAGGTGCTGCCTAGGTCCACATGTTTCTAATTCTTTTTGAGTAAACCCTTAAGCAGGGCTCACTATGTGCCGTGCACCTCAACGCTTCACATGTGTGAATTCATTAACTCCTAAGCAGGCACTGTTCACATCTGCACTTTATAGGGCAGGAAACTGAGGCACACAGAGGTTGTAGGGTGCCAGCCCAAGCTGGGTTCTGCGTCCGTCCCTCAGTTCTGCCTCATACAAGTTGTGGTGCTTTTGGCAAGTCGCTTAATCGCTCCACACCTGCAAGAGAGCAATGGTATGAGTTAAGATGTGTGGGAAGCAAGTGACTTTGCCTTTCTGTGCCTCATTTTCCCCACCTGCAAAGACAGGATAAAGGGAATTAGTACGCATAAAGCTCTCAAACAGCCTAGTGTAGGTGCGGGCTCAGGGAGGGGTGGCGACTGGCCTACTGTCACCAGCAAGTGTGGGGCTCAAGCTGACCAGCCCCGCTTTGTCTCGCTCCGCAGGAGCCAACTCTAGTTTGACGGGCAGCGGGGGCCCGCTGCTGTGGGAGGCGAAGCTGGGCCTGGCCTTCCTGCGGAACCTCCGCTACCGTGATGGCGCCCTGGTGATTGCCCGTGCCGGCTACTATTATATCTACTCCAAGGTGCAGCTGGGTGGCGTGGGCTGCCCACAGGTGACCGGTGGCCTGCCCATCACCCATGGCCTCTACAAGCGCACACCCCGCTACCCCAAGGAGCTGGAACTGCTGGTCAGCCGGCGGTCACCCTGCGGGCGAGGGGCCAGCCCCCGCGTCTGGTGGGACAGCAGTTTCCTGGGTGGCGTGGTGCACCTCGACGCTGGGGAGGAGGTGGTGGTCCGCGTGCCGGAGGAGGGCCTGGTCCGACTCCGCGACGGCACCCGGTCCTACTTCGGGGCTTTCATGGTGTGAAGGAGGGCGATGGTGGCTCGGATGGGGTCTGGCCACAGAGGAGCCTCACAGAACAGAAAACCCAACCAGCAGAGATTGGAGGATGCTCAGGGACCCCAAAACATGGCATGTGAGGAACTCAGCTGGCACCACCAGGAGCCAAGAACCCAGCCACCCCTAGAGGTTGGAGACCCAGTGGCCACCTCTGGAGAAAACCAAAAGAAGCTGCAGACCCCGCCACCGACAACGCCGGAGACAAAGACCAGGAGACTGGGGTCTGCAAGCCCCCAGACAGGGGGTAAACATTGCTACTTGGTCCTCAGGAAGACCGGTGAGGGGTGGGTATTTTGATACGGAGGAAAGTGGAACTTGAGGGTCCAGGGACTTGTCTGAGAACAGGAAACATCAAACTCCCCACTCTCACAAATGTGGGCAGGGGTGGGGGGCTTTATCACCAGGACTCATATGAGATCCCAGCAGCACCCATGGTCACAGTCACACTAAGTTCCACCCACAGGCTTGTAGCCACACCACAGCCAGGTCATGAAAAGTTACACTCTGACACAGGCACGGGGTGTGCTGGTTACCATCTGACAACCAGCTCTGCGGGGAGGGGAGAGGCTAAGAAGCCTCTCCCCATTTCCTCGCCAAGGCTGGTTTCTGGCCGCTCTGTATTATCAACCCGTTGGCTGTAACCCTGAGGTGCTGAGCAATCGCATCCAGGGGTACCACAGCTCTGTTTCAGCACCCAGGCCAGGGCTCGGCACACAGCGGGCCCTTGGAAAATGTTTGATGAAAGAGGGCAGGAAGGAAGGAAGGAAGGAAGGGGAGAGAGATAGAAAGACAGAGAGACAGACAGACAGACAGACAGACAGACACAACTGCAGCATCACAGAGAATCACACAGCTCCTCAACCTCACAACTTCACAATCTCAGCCACAAACTCAAGCGCACAAAGCATCAGATTCTCACACACCTGCATACAAGTCATAGACAACATTGCAAAGACTCTGGCCCAGACTCTGCATGACAAATACAGTCACACACAAGTCATCATCACAACCTCGGTCGCCTTCGCGGACCATACTGTTACACACATGGTCCTCACACCAGACTTCCGCATGCTGCGTCACAGCCAGATCCATCACGTACACATAGCATTCTGATCACACGCATGCTCACGCACAGCCTGAAGTTCCTCCCAGCTGAGATGAAGACATCCTGGGGTGAGGACCAAACTTTGTCCGTAACCCTGGGCCCCTGACCACTGGTCTTGGGATAAATGGCAAATATTGCACCTGGGTCCATCTGGTTCTTAGTGGAAGGGTGGCTTGTAGAGACAGAAGCATAGATGGAATGACCCATAGAGGCACTTTATGGATAAGAAACCTGAACCAGCTGGCTCGACTCCATCCTGGGTCTGCCTTCCCCTCAAATCCACAATTCCTGAGGAAGTGGAGTCTATATCCCGCCAAGCACCCTTACTCTAGACATTCGGTCTAGACAGAGTGGCAGGAGTAACGGGGAGCATGGAGAGGGTGCGTGGGGAGCAACAGACAACAACATGCACACAGCTCAGATGGTCTGTACAGATGAATGTACTCTGGGATGGCTGGAGGGCAGTCTTACTGCCCAGGACCCTAGGATGAGGGCTCAGACCCCAGAGGTGAATAAATTATTATTGTTATTGTTGATATTGTATTTGTCATTGTTGTCTGGTACGGGGGTTAAGGAAACAGACGTTGCGATCTGGAAGAGGGCCTAGGTTCCTCTTCCACTCCACCACTTCCTTACTGTGTGACCTCGAGCGAGTTCCTTCACCTCTCAGGGCCTCAGTTTCCTCATCTGTGTAATGGGAGGTAACAACAGTCTTTGCCTCCTAGGTTTGTGGTAAAGGTTGAATCAGACCAGGCATGGAAAAAGCCATTTGCAGCTCCATACGTGTAGGAGAGCCATAAGTGATTCAGAAATACTAAGAAGAGCTTTCTCAGGCACTTTCCTTGTGCCAGACATCTCGTGTCATATCTTTATACACCTGGGCACAAATTATTGTTGGCCCCCGTGTTCCAGATGTAGAGACAGAGGCAGGGACGCTGTCCCCAGCCACCCCACCCCCAGCAAGGCCATGGGGCTTCGTGCCTCTCTGCCCTTGCTGGGCTGGTGGGAGGTGGGACAGCCCCCGCTGGAGTTTCCTTTACTCTCATCATGGTCTTTCTGTTTCCGTGGCTTTGATGAAGAGACCACGGTGTGGAGCCAATGAATTTATCAAAGCCAGCAGCAGCAAGCAACTTCCGCCTGAGGATGGAACCTCTTGCTAAGTTTAGCCTCCAAAGATCATTCCTGGGAGGGGCCTCCCAGCCTTGAGGTGGAGGAGAGAAAGGAAGATAGAGGGCGGGTAAGGAGGATTGGTAGTGAGAAGATGGAAAAGAGGGAGGGGAGGGAAAAGAGAAGGCGGAAGAAGGAGGGAGGAGGCAGAGAGAGCGCTGCAGGCGCTCAGGCTGGTGCAGCAGGACACCAAGCCTGATTTCAGATAAAGCGTGGGGGCCGGAAGCCCCTAGCTCAGGCCACTAACCTACTTTTCAACTTCTTAGATCTTTATCTACTTGATTTCCGCTTTCACCTCCTGGGCTCCAGCATCTTTACAGATATCACCCTCTCTTCCAGCCCAATCAACCCTTCCTCAAGACCTGAGTTTCACAGTCATCGCCCCTCCCTTCAGCCCCTGGGCAGGAAGCCCTCCCCCGTCCTTTGCATCTCTTGACAAGACTCAGAGGTGGTAAAAGTGAAAAATAATGATGATAAAGTCATTTATTAGTCTCCTATTATTAGTCTCCTACTATGCCCCCCTGCCGTTGTCACCACAGTCAAACCCTGTGATGCACCCTCTTAGAGACAGAAGGCTTACACCAGAGCCAGACCACCTGGGGTTGAAGCCCCTCTCTGCCACCTCCAAGCTGGGCGAACTTAGACTCTCCATCCATTCCCCGCTTCACTGGGCTTCAGCTTCCTCACTTGTAAAACAGGATGGGTAGTGGCCTCTACCTCACCCCGGTTATCGTGAGATGAAGTGACATACGCCTTTAAGTATTTTTCCAGAGCTTGACCCTCAGTGAACTCTTTGATCTTCAGCAGATACTCTTTTTGTAAGCATAGTTGTAATCATATGCACATTTAAATTTCTGATTCTTTTCGGTTATCAAAGGTGACCTTTCATCCCTGGGCCACACTAGTCACTGGATGTGTTTTAAAAACAAGAATTAGTAGTCATTGTTTAAACATTAGAAAGCTTTGCACATGGACAGATCCAGATTTCTGGCTTTTCTTGGATAGTTAGCAGCCATGACGACAACCCAGGTTGGGTAGTGGCTGTCCCCCTCTGGAGAGGGCGTGAGCTCGCCAGCTCACCAGTCTCCACCGTCCCCACTCTCTCCCACGTGGAGGCTGAGTGCCAGTTGACTTGCCTCATCAAGCTTGCGCATTCATTTTTCATAATTACAAGTTATGCTTCTAATGTCCTCACTGGGTACCAGTTACTGTCCTAAGTGCATTAATTCACAGTAACTCAGTTCGTTCTCACTATGACCCTGTAGGGGTTACCATTAAACACCTGTCTTATGGATGGGGAAGTCCAGGCACAGAGAGGTTAAGTCACTTCCCCATCAAACGTGGGAAAAGAGATGACAGCCTGACGTCACCATGAATTTCAAGAAAAATGAGAGTTCGTAGTTGTATTAGTTTTCTATTGCTGCTGTAACAAATTCTCACCAACTTAGTAACTTAAAATAATGCTAATTTATCACCTTAGAGCTCTGGAAGTCAGAAGTCAGAAGTCAGAAATGAGTCTCATGGGACTAAAGTTGAGTCTTCAGCAGGGCTGCCTTCTTTCTGGAGGAAAGGTCTCTCCCCAAACCCTTTTCCCATGTCTGCCTCTGTGGGAGCCCAAACTGACACATGTGTGGAATACATGGATCTCAGCTCACAAGGAGTGCAAATAATTTAACTTCCTTTTTATTCCTCACAGATTGCAAGGACCTTGTCAGCTTACAATCTCTTATTTTTGATTTTTTATGCCTATAGTACCTGGTCTTCCTAGGTGGTCTCCCATCCAAGTACTAACTAGGCCCGACCCTGCTTAGCTTCCGAGATCAGATGGGATCGGGCTTGTTCAGGGTGGCATGACCGTAGACATAATGCAACTTAATATATGCAAAGATCTCTTTGCCCCAGGATGCTGAGGACTTGATATCAGTCCATCAGGAACCATCTTTTCCCACATCCTCCTTTCCTATGACTATCAAAATCCCAGGAGCTCAGGAAATGCCAAGGGATTAAGGGAGAGAGATGGCTCCACCTGATTCTCGAGCCACATGACCACACGTGTACCCACCACCAGTCTGCTTCTGATTCATCAGCCCTCCATTTTAGTACTCGTGACTTATCAAGAATGGTGCATTTTCTGCTACTCCTTAAAGTTGCTGGGTTTTGGTGGTGAGGCTGATTTTAGGCAAGGAAACTCTTTGAGGCTGTCTGTGGCTTCAACTGCCCAGAGACACCATTGAGTCACTTCCTCTTTGGGGACCTGCAGCACCTCTGGGCTCTGCAATGGGAAATAGGGCTCAAGCCTAGAAAAGGCTAGAAATTTTTCAGGAGGATTTTTCATGGTTCCAGGGTTCTTTTTTCAAAAACCAGGGCATAGGAACTTCCTCTCTGTTATGGGTGCTGAATCATACCCCCCTAAAATTCTCACGTTGAAGCGCTAAGTCCCAGGACCTCAGAATGTGACTATATTTGGAAATGGTATCTTTAAAGAGAAAATTAATGTAAAATGAGGTTGTTAGAGTTGGTCCTAATCCAATATGACTAGGGTGCTTTTAAGAAGAGACTAGGTCACAGACGCACAGAGAGATAAACCACATGAGGACACAGGGAGAAGACGGCTTTAGAAGGAAAGTGTCGACACCTTTGTCTCAGATTTCCAGCCTCTAGAACTGTGAGAAATTGCATTTCTGTTGTTTGAGCCTCCCGCTTTGTGGTACTTCACTATGGCCGCCCTGGCAAGCTAACGCAAACCTCTCCTCTTTGTGCCAGTCCTGGGTAATCTCATTCTTGACTGAGAGGGTGGGAAGAAGCTCTGGAAGTAAGATCCTTTTAAGTGAAAGAGGGAAACAGAGAGGCAGAGTCAGAGAAGGATTAGAGTGATGGATGAGATTGGGGGAGAGGGGGTGTCCACAAGTTTAGGAATGCAGGTGACCTCTAGAGGTTGAAAAAGGCAAAGAAGCAGGGTCATTCCTAGAACTTTCAGAAAGAAAACGACCCTGCTGACACCTTGAATTTAGCCTGATGAAACTGATTTGGACTCTAGCCTCTAAGACTGGAAGGTAATAGAATTATGTTGTTTTAAGATTCTAAATTTGCAGTAATTTGTTACAGTCCACTTCCCATGCCACTTGGATGCACATGACTTGCAAAGAGGTTCACCGTGTTTGGGGAAAGCTACTGCAGGAGTCAATCCCAGCCAGAAAAATGGAAGTGACTGAGATGAGCCACAGCTCCCACTGC